GGACGCCCCCTAAACCATTCTAAGATACTATTTTTTTTCGGCTAGACAAAACTTTAGGGACTGTATGAATGTTCTAAATATATTTAGATGTATAGTTACGGGCAATATCCAGTTCCATAGTAAAATAAATTACAATCTTCATTTACCACTAACCAGTATCAATAAGCAATGATAGATTGCTCTCGAACGTCTATCATTTGTTCATCATAGTCCACAATTGGGATGATGACAGGGTATAAAAATTAAAAATGTAATTAGTCCGTAAGTTAGGTAATGAAAAAATATAAAACACTTATTTTATATTTTGTCGTATAATAAAACCATACTTAGATAAAACGAATTAAAGTTTAGGAGTGGGAGCTTAAACGTCCTTTCTACGTATAAAATGTACATAGAAGTGACGTCACGCGACATTTCAAATCAATATATCGTCGAAAGTATTCGTTTCTGTAAGAAAATAAAAAATACCAGGCGTACATTATATAAAATAAAAATTAGGCATCTACCCTATTTCACATATCACGATGCAAATAGGTCTATTTATATCCTTTTGTGTCGTGAAGTGAAGAAAATTCTCCAATAGCCGGTGCGATATTCTATATTCTATAATATAGCCTTTGCGATATTTTCAATCGTCTCAACGATATTATCATTATTATTTGACTACTACAATTGTATTGGTAATATCAGTAACAGTAACTATTTACTTCAACCTTTTTAAGGATTTCATCTTGATTGGTTTAAAGATATAAAGTGGGCTCTATATCATATATTTGGTATCGTAATTTCGTAAAATATATCAAGTTATGTTGGAGTGATTGTGTTTCGTTATTTTTAGCCATTGAAGGTCCAATTTACTGGTTCAGTTAGTACCCATTTTTCTTATAAGATAGTCTTTAGACATTTCAATCAATTTGTTATCATAACAATGCATAACTATGCAGGTGCCTTATTAACAATAAGTGCTTGCTGTTTTCCTGGAAATATAGCAAGCACCATATACAAACTAATTGCTTATCATATCACATAGGGGAGAATTTGTCACAACATAAACAGATTCTATGTCGAGAAAATATCATCATTATTATCATATCAACAAGAACACCACTACTGCTGAACATAGAGGCGTCTTTCTATGTTATTCACAGAGATGAGACCGCTTCTAGATGTCTAGAGACCGCTAAAAGTGACTGTTAAGAAAACAAAGCCTAAATAAAGCCCTTTTCTATACGACTCTAGGCGCCGCTGTATCGATGTAAGCGAATCGTAAACATATCGTTCCTATTATTGCTGTGCAAGAAAACATCTTGCCTTAACATGTATAGTAAGATGTCATTTTACTCTCAAATTACGTTCGTAAGTTTAATACAATAGTTTCCTAAACATGATCAAGCAACAGACGGCAACTGTCAGAACAGTTAACTTTCAACGTATGAAGATATAGTAGTTCGACAGTCTGATGCCCTTATTTGAGTAATATTCATATCCTCTTGTCGTGAGTTAGACGTCAATACGTCAGGAGCAAAAGTTCGGTTATTATCGTCTAATACTAAGTTAGAATCTTGACACATACATACAATCTTGGTATCTCTTTAAGGACTTATTTATTTTTATGTTACCTTATAAAAAACTCGAGATCTTTTGCTTAACATTCTCACATAATCCCCAGTGGGTTTAAGATTAGTAGTGATGAAACGAGCAGTCAATCTTTTAATAGTAGGTAGGGATTGGTATTGGACATTTTGCTTAAAGTTATTAATTCTTTTAAAAATGATACTAAACAAAAGTTGCTTTATCAGACACACTGCAATATCCATCGATGGTTTTCCTACTCCTACACATTAATTAAGAAGCGCCACGGATCGGACGCGGTGACCGACACTCGATTACGCAGTGACTTCGCATGACTTCGCTAGTTTAAACTAACAGTTAGAAATGACTGGGAGATAGTTTGCGAGCGTTTTTGCTATTAGTTTCTTTTGTTGCATCAGTCGCATTGTATGTAACTAATCTTTAAATCCAAACAGTAAAATGATTATTGTATGCAATGTATTGGTAGACTGGTAAATTATTGTTGAATAGTGAGAAATCATTACCATATCATTATAGCCACATATACATAATTCAAGACTTTTTTTTGAGGGGTCAACGTCTCCCGCCCGGTTAAGGTGAGAGGGAGTGTCAAACTCTTACTGACTAAAAACCACCCTGTTCCTACTCCTGCACTTCGAATCGGAGCCTCGGCAACCCTTTAAGTCTTCCGCGGCTTCGTATCGGCATCAGCCCTATTGGGCCCCATCTGTGGTAGTCTGATGGCTCCTTGAGGCGCACGCGGAACACGACGCGCCGTACGCCGGGGTTTGGTTCTGGTCGGGCGTCGAATCACCCGTGCTCGCCGTCCGCAGGCCCGTGCTTACGATGGCCGGAGATCGTCTCGCGGTCCCCGACGCCCGGAGTGTCTCTCGAACGGCCGGGGCGCGGTGTGAGGAGTTTCATTCCCTCACGCGCTCCGCCTCTTCCTTAGCTAGCACATTCCTGAACATAATTCAACACCTAGAGAATAACATAAGAAACCTTTCATAGGAAATTCACGTGGATTTCAAAAACCGAAGCCGAAAGCCAGTCAAACTATAAGTTTATATTAAATTCGATGTACGTTTTTATTATTTTCAGTAAGTAACGAGGGCAGTACAGTCATCTATGTAGGTACATTGTATACATAAAATTGTATGTAATGGGTGAATTTATTCACGAATGTGTAACGTTTTCTCTTCAACACATTGTCGGTATAAATTGGGTCATCTCCTTAATATTGACAAGGGTATCTCAGATGAATTGAGACGTATATACACATGTTGTTTTGTTTACAGAAAATACATTACTTGTTCTATCATTTCAATATGATCAATGTTTGGTTTAGTGCAGACAAATGGGTGATAGACAAATTTTTTGAGTATAGCTATTTTCCAAGAATTATTGTTTTATTTGGCTGATAAATTCTCTATTCGGCTGAAGGTGGCATGTGTTCAGATTCTAAGTCAAATTCAAATTCTAAGTCTAATGAATCGTTGTCGCGGAGAACCTAACGGGTAACCGGGGCTCCGGCTCGACGTGCAGGAGAAGGAACGGGGTGGTTTTTAGTCAGTAAGAGTCTGACACTCCCTCCCGCCTCACCCAGGCGGGAGCAGTCATTCGATGATTTCCCCCCCTTAAAAAAAAAAAGTCTAATGAATCGTTATTAATAACAAAGAGAAATAGATAGGTCTTAAGTTTATACATTCTTCATCTTTCCTTAGCTTTACAATTTATATGTATATATTTAAATACAACAATATTCCTAAAAATAACCAAAACTCATTTAATGCGAAGTAACCATAACCAATAATATTCATTGAATTTACCCACATCATCAACTCTATCCACGTCGGGTCTGCATCGAACTATTGTAGCCGTGAAAGCATTGGGCTCGCCCATACATTATCAAATATTCCATAAAAGTAACATTATAAAAAGTGATCCATTACTACACTAAAGTGGGGCTCGGCACTTTGGGAACTAAATAGATCAATATCAATTTACTAAAATGAGGAAAATTATTTATAAAAACGTTGTTATACCTAGTACTTTTAGCTATGAACACATCATCACTAGAACTTCAGTACTAAAGTTTGTATACGGTTTTTCACTCGCGGTTGTACTTACAGAGAGTAGAAGACTATAGGTACATATACAAGTAGATCTTATTATGTAACAAATTATTATTTTCTTTTGAAAACAAGTAACGTTACCCGATCTCGGATTTCCCATTTGTCACCTTAAACCCCTGAACTACTACTAATACTTGGAACATACAAGGAGTTTTTCCGTCCTTTAGAACCTATGACATATTGAGTTGACCAGAAGCTTAACTACTGCTTCAAAGTCAAAGTCAAAGTCAAAATCATTTATTTCAATTAGGCCAGAATGGCACTTTTGAACGTCAAAAAAAAATTAAAAGTGAAGCTATTTGCTTCAAGTCTTCAACCTTGTTCGATAAAATTATGTTATGTTAGCGATTCAAAATAAAAAAAATCAATGCCTTACTGTCCATGATGTGTCATTTGACGAATGCATGTAACCTACAAATGACGATAGGCGGGTTACAAACGACATATGCTTGCATCATGGTAAAAAAATGAAAACAGTCCTGTCTGAAAGCGGCAATTGTTTACCGCCCATCGTCATTTGTAGGTAGCATGCATTCGCCAAATGACGCGTCGTGGACAGTAGGCCAAGTGTCAATACTATGAGGTATTAAACAAATGACGTAAGAAAGGAAGATTCAATATTCGGGTTTCGTCCTAAATTATGAGACTTTCATTCTTTTGTTAAACTCTCACCCTACGTTGGAAACTTCTTATGAATATATTTTTTTATTACTGAAGTTCTTTTAGATGTAGGTACATTGTGTTTATTACTTAGTAATGGTGGGTATTACGTCCCACCTTTTGACCTAACAATGTGTAAGAACATCTACTAATTTATTCTGTTAAGTTTCTAGTTTTAAAGTATGATAATATATTATTGGTAAATGTTTAGGTTCGGAGGTTTAAGAGTGCTCTTCATTCATAAGAGTGCGGTATCGAAACTTACCTACGATACTTTCTAAAATTAATTAGAAACCACTGATAAACGATGAAGGAAAACATCGTAAGGAAACCTGGGTTTAAAATTTTAATTATAATCGCCAACCCGCAAGCGTTATTTGAGCATTTCAAAACCTTCTCTTTGATCAGCAGTGGCCACTTATTGCCTGTTGATGAGGAAAAAGACGTGTCGCGGGTTTGATTCCCGTACGAAACAACTCTTTGTGTGATTCACAAATTGTTTTTCTGGTTGTCATGTGTATATGAACTTTTATGTTTGTAAACGCGCCCACAACAGGGGAAAAACCTAACATGGGGCAACATTTTATAAAAAAAGGATGTGATGATAATGTGAATATATTATTTTGTTCTCAGGTTCAATAACAATAATGTCGTACGCGTGCATGGGACGCACACTCTGCTCGGTGCGGCCTCCCTTCGACATCGACGAGGGTAATGTCAGCATGCAACAGGTTTGTATAGAGATATTTGTTTTGAATTATATAATTCTATAACATCTTGAAATATCAAATGATAATAATTGCATTAAAATCTTCCTAGTCTTCTTGTAACGCCTCAAATGTGGCGTTAGTTTTCAAGGTTTTACCAGAATACCTATATTACATAGGTAATAATAGAACATAATTTTAAGCTAAGATGAAACTATGCATAGTTGTAAACTACGCCTGAAGATAGATTAAACATCACAATTATTAGGTACTTTATTTTAAAATATAAAGCTGTCGTTGGCCTCGGGTTTGATTCAAATATTATTGTTTTTTTTTTTAAATCTACATGGGACTCATAACATAAGCAGTGAAAAGTGGGTGTTACATTCTATAGTGGTATTAAGTGCCGTAATGTGCACCTTTACCTATCCCTTTAGGGATAAAGGCATGATGTTATGATTTATTTTAAATATGTTAATAAACTATTATAAAATGATAAACGTGAATACATAGGAGCTTGAAGCATGTATTACTAAACAAAGCTTATTCATAAAAGTAATTCAAAACATAAATTCTAAAGTAGCACTTACTTTATTCGAAATTTTCCCTAAGATGGTAATTTATTTTCCAGACAAGTAATATCTTTTGAAAATTAATCACGTTTGAATCTTAGATTACTAATATTTACATATTTTTTAACCTCTTGTCAATACATTTAGAAGATTTTCAAAACGGCTGAAAATCAAAAATAAAAATTGATTGCACTTCTGGATAACATAATAATTTTGACATTAAGTGTGTCCATACTACGTATCGCAGTTTTTATCACAATCTATGATGATCAACATTTATAGTAATCCTTACTTATAATATTATAAATCGAAAAGTGAGTTTGTTTGTTTGTCCGCTTTCACACCATAACTACTAAACAGATTGCTTTGAATTTTTGCAAACGTAAAGTTAGAAGTCCGGATTAAATAATAGGGCACTTTTTATCCCGGAAAAATTTGATATTCCCGAGGGAAAACAAAAGTATTGGTATAGATGGCGCTGTGTATTGGTATATATCATGTTGGCTTTTTATCCTTTTGTGACGCGAGCGAAGCCGCGGATAAAAGCTAGTTTTAGATAAATCGATTATCCGTTCTCGATTGAAGTCATATCACAGTTCAAAGAAAACTAAATATTTACAAAATCCTATAACTGGACATACACAATACTTTTCCTTGTATGAAACATTTCAGTTTACCTAGTGTTCAGCAATTTATGATCGACTTACAAACACGACGATACATTTGTTGTATTTGTTTATACAAATATCAACTCTACACGTCATGTTTTAAGACGAATTTGAGAAAATATCGTTTGAAGTCATTTACGTGTAGCAAATATTTGCCGATTTATTTGCTTGTAATTTGTTTTATTTGATGAGTTTCGTCTTGAAAAGGAATTTACAAATCTTCGGAAAATGTTGACAAGGTCTTATGAAGTAATGCTTTTTTAAACAGATATACATACATAATTATGTAAGTAGAAAGTGTTCGTACCGGTGTTTTATTTCCATAAATTAAAAAAATATTATTTTTTTTTTAGAAACTAGTTGTATTTTAAAGTCCTTTTTGTCTAATAATTCATTAATTATATCTATAACTAGCAGCCCGTCCCGGCTTCGTACGGGGTAGATAATTTTTCTTTTTTCAAAATGAAATGTACCTTATGTCAAATTGGAAGAATGTAGCATATTATTGGTGAAAGAATTTTTTAAATCGGCCCAGTACTTTTTGAGCCTATTCATTACAAACATACGAACATACAAAAATAGGTACAAATCTTTCCTCTTTATAACATTAGTATAGATTATAGTGTAAATAACCTTTTCCTGAAAAAACATTGGCAACTAAGTGTGTAAATAAGAGAGAGAGATGGAGAGCCATGCGTCGTCACGAATAGGCTGGCTCGACCGGAGTGATACCACGGCCGAGCAGAAAACCGACGTGAAAAACACTTGCGTTGTGTTTCGTCGAGTGAGTGAGGTTACCAGAGGTCCGATTACCCCCCTCCCTAATCTGTGCAATCCCTGAATCCCCAACAATTCTCAAATTGTAATCCCCAACTTCTAACGCCTCTGATGTTTCGGATGTCCATGGGCGGCGCCGATTGCTTATCATCAGTTAACTGTAACTGAAAGTTACTTAGTTAAACATTGTAATGATATTATGGTTGACTGGTAGAGAATGCCATATGGCATTAAGTTCGCCTTATGTGCCATAATAAAATTGTGTACATAAAAGAATAAATAAATAAATATTCTCATAACACAAAAATATGCCAAAGAAATAATAAACCAACTAATTACGTTTTTATAATAACTATCGTGAGACATACTAAATTAAGTAAAAACGCGGGTTACTCACGTGAATATACTGAGAAAAGCTCTACTAGTTTCGAACCACAGAGGGGTTCTTCCTCATGAGCAGCGTGCGCGGTCGCGGCGACGTCGCGCAGCTCACTGGCTGGCGTTTGCGCTCGCCTCGGTGTTGCCACCTGCACTGCGGGCCCAACGCGCCCTCTGTCGGACACTACGAGCGTTTGCTTCCAACTCCGGCAGCGCGTTGGACGAAGCTAAAGCGCACGGTACGTTCCCGGAATCGAACCCACGACCCGCGCCGCTGGTGAACGTACCGTGCGCTTTAGCTTCGTCCAACGCGCTGCCGGAGTTGGAAGCAAACGCTCGTAGTGTCCGACAGAGGGCGCGTTGGGCCCGCAGTGCAGGTGGCAACACCGAGGCGAGCGCAAACGCCAGCCAGTGAGCTGCGCGACGTCGCCGCGACCGCGCACGCTGCTCATGAGGAAGAACCCCTCTGTGGTTCGAAACTAGTAGAGCTTTTCTCAGTATATTCACGTGAGTAACCCGCGTTTTTACTTAACCAACTAATTACGTTCATACGAAGGTATATTTTGCTTCGTATACTCAAATAACAGTTTCGACTTGATCTCGTTAAGGCAACACTACCTGAGGGTGTCAGGTAACTCTCTGTTCGTTAAGTATAGTTGAATAAACTGTAGGAAGGTACGAACTTGTCAAGTTAATACTGAAGTTTGTTTAGGAAGGATGTGACTTCTGAAATACATAGTCAGATAATATATCAAAAGTGATTTTGTTGATCCAGCAGTCGTATATGCGACTCCTGAATATAATTTTGCTGATTAAATGCTTTAGAAGTAAATTGTGTCAGCGCGCTATTTAATGCAGCTAACTTTCTTTACCACTACTATAAGTAGTAATGAACAAATTCTAGTTACTAATCAAGCCCTTTCATTTGATATTTATAATGGAGCCAGTTGTGAAAAAAAGATTTTATTATATTGTAAAGTCATCAACATTAAGAGTGTGTTCTAAAACCAGATTGATTTCTCGTTATGAAAGGGGTGAAATTCCAATTACTTGTGTTTATAAAGTCCATGTGAAGATACTTACTTTTCCTATCCAACCAGACAGACTAGACGGGGGAAGTAAACTTTCCTGTCCATCTTTGTATACGGAACATAAAACGAATGTAAGTATTTTATTAACTAATATCGTTTAATAAATGGACTTCAATCCCGTATTTTCTTAAAGTCAGTTCATTAATATACTGAAACCTTCTCTAGAAAAATAACATACACTTTTCTGAAAATCGCATCAAAATCAGTTTAGCCAATCACGAGATAATCGCGCACGCACAAACAAACATACATACCTACATACAGGTCACACTGAGAACTTTCTTTTTTTGATGTCGGTTAACAATATCTGAGAATACGTCTTTTAAATTCAACATAATATCAAGTACGTGTCATATCATGAATAAGGCTTATTCACATACCTTAGAATGTTTTTCAGAAAATTCTATATTATGAGAATACTGACGCCATATAAAGGAGGCAGCTCTCGTTAAAATAATGATAGACCAGGTTATAGACACATTACCCAAGCAATCAAGTTGATGTTAAAGGTCGGAGTACGTAATATAAAGTTATAATTATATTATTACTTTCTTACATCATACATTAACAGCCTATAAGTGCCCACTGCTGAGCAAAGCCTCTTCTCACATGGAGAAGGTTAGAGCGTTAATCACCACGCTTGCTCAATGCGGATTGGCGATTTCAAACTTATTATTAGATATTATAAGTCCAGGTTTCCTCACGTTGTTATTCCTTCACCGTTTGTCGGTGGTATCTAAATAATCTTAGAAAGTACATATAAGTCGGAAAAAGTCACATTGGTATTTGCCGTTGGTAGGTTTCGAACCCGTACCCTCATGCTTGAGAAGTCTTAAACCTCCGGGCCAGCAGGATATATTTTCTTATACATAATAATTATTATACAGTGTGTCTTGATAATCTTCACATATTGAAATATTGAAACATAGACTATGATTCCTGATTTACCTCATGGCAGCGTTAAATCGGTATAAAAAGTATCCTACGACCCAATCCAGCCCATACCCTGCCTGACCTGCCTGTATACCAAATCTCTTCGGCCAGTTTAAACGTAGTTAAAAAATAATTATTTCCTTTTATGAAGACGCTTGATCACTTTATACGTAGGTACACGTATATGTTCATAATGTTACGTTTATATTCTATCCATACATATAACACCCGTTTATTTATTAACGATGTGCTTTATTAAGATAATAAAATTGAAGTACACACATAATAATATGGGAAATTGAGTTAATAAATATTTATAAAGGATGAGGATAATAATGGGGTCGTTGATCGAGTCAATGAAAGGTATTTGACATGATCATGTCAAATCCATACGGATTGACTACAAATTGTTGGGTACGAGCGGTCGCAAGTGCATGCCGGGCAAGGGGTCTCGGGTTTAATTCCCGGATCAGGCAAAGTACTGAATCTAGAGTCTAGAATTGTGCCCGGTATATGGCAATAAGCTTACCCCCTATTACATGTGACTTATAACATAAATAATGAAAGGTGGGTGTTACATTATACAGTGGCATTTAGTGCCATAATGTACACCTCTACCTACTCCTTCGGGGATAAAGGCGTGACGTTATGTATCTTATAGGACTAATATTAGCAACAGTCACAAAACATAGTTACACTGTAAATAAAATTCTACCTGACCATCAGAATAAACTATAAGTGATTTTGTGTCAAATAGATTCAATAATGTCTATTACAATGTACTTAGAAGTAAATTAAAAAACCATCTATCAGTTTAATAAAGTGAGTCTGGGGAAAATACTGTAAACGAAAATCCGTAGTACTGAGAAACGAAAAATCTGAAGAAAAAAAGATTCGATTTACATAAATTTATTTATTGCTTAACAAATTATCGACTAGACACTTGTTGAATAAATATTACCTAGCTGATATAGGCGCTGTTAATGGAATCATTTCACATTAAATTGCTCGAATAAAAAGGTTTCATTCAAAGTGAAAATTAATATTTATATTACGTAGACTTTTTCGTGTCTATCGTTGACTGGTTTTGGTTTCAGTGTTCAAAATATTCAAAAAGTTTCGTTTATTTTTACTTGAAGACTTTCAGAAACTATGAATGATAATAATACTTGGTATCAACATTTCACACATCATATACCTATGTATTAGAACTGGCGAAAATGTTATACAGGATAATTATGTTAATTTTTTTATGGGACAATCCGGTAAACACGCTTACGGGTCACCTGATGGTAAGCAATCGGCGTTGCTCATAGACACCTGGAACACCAGAGGCTTTACAAGTGCGTTACCGGCCTTTTGAGGATTAGGAATTTGAGGACTGTTGGGGATTCAGGGGATATTGGAGAGGGGGGGATAATTGGGTCTCCGATACTCATATGAAGAAACACAATGCAAGCGTTGTTTTACATCGGTTTTCAGTAAGGCAGTGGTATCACTCCGGTCGAGCCGGCCCATTCATGCGGAAGCATGGCTCTCCACACTTCAACTGTACATTTTAATAATGATACTTTAAAGGATAGGCTTAAAAAATAACCTAACCATTGTCGAATTTTATTTTCACTAGTTTACTTTTGAAGTTGGACTTAAGAAAAAAAAAGGAAGATAGACCAGGCCGTATATGCAACTAACTGAAAATAAAAATACACCTTACCTTCTGTAATAATTAAACCTTCCTAGTAAACTTCACTCACAACCACTAGGCAGTCTTTAAATAACCAGCAGGTTCAATGTTAATGGCTCTGAAGATAGTGGCTTAACAATAACTAAGGACATATTAATCTAGTAAGCATCTTTTTAACAACTTACAATTATTCCAGGGTCTAAGACTGATGAAGGAGAGGAAACGAGTGGCGTGGATCCTGCTTCTTCTGGCAGTGCTTTTCGCCATGTGCTGGATGCCATACAATATCATGCAGCTGTTGTTAGACGTCAACCTGGTAAACGCTAAGGACCTAAGCATGGTTCTACCGTACGCACTGTTTATGGGTAAGATATAAATCAGAATTTTATTGTTCATAGATTCCACACCCATATTTCGCTCATGGAAGCACTTAGTTTATCATTATCAACAGCCTATAAGTGTCCACTGCTGAGTAAAGACCTCTTCTCACACGGAGACATCTAAATAGGGAACTATCTTGTTGCAATCTACATAACAAAAGGCGCTTTTAACAAAAGACATTGGCCTCAGAAAATAGATTTGCCTGGTGGGAATTAAAAGAACAATATGGCGAGCAGTTTCCAACTGTTTCGCCACAATGCTAATAGCGTTGTCAACTTAAATAAATCGTTGTTTACAAAGTAACAATGCAATTAAAATCCGATACATTTTGCTGAACGTGTCTGCTTCATTTAACACCCAGAAGACCAATCCATTATAGATGACGACATTATCAGAGTTCATAGTGAAGTTATGTGTTTAGATTTAGAGGTTTCACACTGATACAATCATGACTATAATTAGATTTGTTTATTTTTTTATGAGATATGCCGGTAATCGGGCAGATGGATCACCAGATGGTAAGCAATCGACGTCGCCCATGGACACCCAAAATACCAGAGGCGTTATAAATGCGTTACCGGCCTTTTGGGAATCAGGAATTTGAGAATTGTGGTGGATTCGGGGATTGGGGAGACTGAGGAATAGTTGGGCCTACGGTAACCTCACTCATACGACGAAACATAACGCAAGCGTTGTTTCACGTCTTTTTTTGTGAGGCCGTGGTATCACTCCGGTCGATTCGGCCCATTCGTGCCAAAGCATGGCTCTCCTACACTTAATTCACTTCACTTCTTTGTTGGTAATTGGTAGACTGTCTTTATAATTCCTTATTATAAGATTGAAATCGCACACCCGCATTAAGCAAGCGTGGTGATTAATGCCCAAATCTTCGCCATGTGAGAAGAGGTCTTTGGCCACTTATAGGCTGTTGGTGATTGATATGATAGACTATGTAGAACTGAAACTATTAGGTATGCAGGACGCTTAGGAGTTAACGAGATAATCGCCGCTTAGGTCATGAGTAACGTGACTTAAGAAGTGGTCACAGTGGACAAAATGGAGTTTAAGTGTATCAAAGTTATGAGAAAAGGATTCTTGAAGTGTCTTAACTCATAACGCTAGTAAAAGTAGGATCCGTGTAGACCCCTCTATGTCTCATAGAAAGTGTACTGACGGTTACCGTCTTGTACATAGTATGCGATGAAATTTTTGCGTTGCGTCATCGCATTCCGCTACGCAGTGTTGTGGCCTCGCCTTTATTTACATATTGCAGTATTTTTCACCACAAGAGCTGATAAATTGACCTATCTTTGATCTCTAGTTTCAAAAACGTATCGATAGGTACTTAATCTAAACTTACCTAAAGCTTTTCACGAAACTAACTTAATGGATAAAGATAATTTTATACCAAAACTTATCGGACTGCCTCATTGGCCGAGTTGTCGCAACTGCGACTGCCGGGCAAAGGGTCTCGTATTCGATGCCCAGGTCGAGTAAATTACCATTGAGTTTAAAAAAAATCTCAGTAGCAGCACGGAGTCTGGAAATGTGCCATGAACTGGGCCACAGGACTTAAATAGTTAAAAGTGGGTGTTATATTGTATAGTGGCAGTACCTAAGTGCCGTAATGTGCACCTCTGTCTACCCCTTCGGGGATAAAAGGCATGATGTTATATTTATGTTTATGTGTTTACTTATCGGGTTATTGCTACATAGAGAAATAATATTGTAAAAAGATAAAATCAGGGCCACTCTTATTATTATAATGAGGTTGTGTACCTAGAGTATATTATTCATTTCTTTTTTCTTTTTGTTTCACTGATGATTGAACAATAATACGTATCACACAAATATGAATATTGTCCTCTACAGACACATAATATATTCTGTTTTGAATTATTTTGTTTTTACCCATTCCACTCAAATGAGTCTCCGCAATTTCGATACGAGTTCATGATTTTCCAAGGACACGTTGTTTTTCTTATTTCTTTTGATGTTTCTTGATGCAAATTTTGGTAAAATTTCTTGAAATATTATACTTGATAAAGCTGGTTTCGTTAACCTAAGATAGTTTCAGTTGGAAATAGCTTTACTGTACACATTACACAGTAAAGGCTTAAAAAAGTTTTTACATTTTTTTAATTGACTACTACCTAACTATGAGATAGTAGTGACAGATTTTGTTTTTCTTGACACCTTTCTCCAAGTACAATGATTGGATTTCTTCTGCCGTCTGTTTCTTAAACAGAATTTTCTATCTTCGCATAACCTTGTGAAGATAGCACATTATTACAGTAGGTAGCTATAATGTGTTATGGCCTGGATCGCTCTTGACACAGAAAAGTAACAACTTGATGCTTACTCAAGAAGTTAAGCTGAAAATCAGAACTATTTACATAGTTAGCTGTACTCGACTACCCTTTAATTTGTACTGAGTTTAATTAAAAGTTCAGAAGCAGAGTAGTTGAAGTGACGTCTCCTTGGTGTAAACTCTAGAGGCTACAAGTTGTATCTGTAAATAGAGAAGTTCACCACACGTAGGTTGATATGTACATAGGTAAATAAACCTTGTTTTCTTAAACAGGTGGATAGTTTTGAAAATGGTAATGTAGGGTTTAATATGTATTTACAATGTAAGGAACGGAAAAGAAATATGTACAACAGAGGCAAGAATAAAGTTAATAAATAAGTCAATAAACGTAGATAAGAATTTTTTGCCAGCTATGCTCATGAATCCTTTAATATACAGTAGGGAATTGATGATGATGATTATTATTATTAAAACAAATTGGGACTCAACACTAACTAACAAATGAAGATTATACCAAGTCCAATAATGATTTTATGCTTAGACTAAGTCAAATACAAGATTAATAGCATGCTGTGTTAAAAAAGGAAAGTAGGTTTGTAACAAATCAGCTCTTTGCTTCAATAAAGTAATGATATTGTTCCGTCCTACTGTATTTGTAAACAGAAGCACTGACAAACAGTACGGAAGAAATTCTATACGTATTATTATGTGAATATTAAATAGGCTGCGGTTATTGAATCTGACGATAACATTCTGGACACGTTTGCTCCACATGTATTGTGTAATATGGCGACAGGAGGCGTGACGATGCATTTTATTGGAAGCATGAGGTTCTAGGTATTATTGTTAGACTTTTACCATCTAAGAGATAGTGATAACCTTCCAAGATTAATGTAATGTTTTGCTCTGTCAGTCAACAGAGGAAGATAAAAATGTCTTATACTGAAGTATAAGATAGTCTACTCCCGTTATGTAAATATAGCTGTCATTAAGTATCATAATGATAGGTGGACTTGTTGACTTTCCCGAAATATGATGATCAATCCGATCATAAAGTCAATTCAGGCATCTTACCAAAATCATCGAAAATGGATAGGTATTAGGTATTGACGTGTAAAAGTGTTGCCTTGTAGCTTATTTCCAGAAATAAATTCACTTGTTTACTTGTTTCACTTGTTTCACTTGTTTCAGTTGTTTCACTTGGATACCCTGAATCGAGAAGTAAAGCAAAAATTGAAAAACGCTTATGATTGCCATCAGGGAGTGATTACAGCTGAACTAATGAGTATTAAAATATTGTCAACAGGACACGCCAACTCAGCGATCAACCCAATAGTATACTGCTTGATGACCAGAAACTTCCAGCGGTCGGCGCGCAAGTTGCTGTGTGGCCGCGGCGTGTGTCAGCAGACCAACTTCACGGTAAGATCAATATTTCTTTTTGTAAATGTTAAGAGATAGGTAAAAGGCTATTGAGCTATTCTTTGCGTGATCGAAAAACGAAAACACCCGCGTGTGGACCGATCAAAAAATGAAAAGACCCGCATACTAATTAAAGTCGCTCACATAGCCCAGCGGATTACCAAGTTGAAGTAGCAATGGGCAAGGCGCATAGCGTGGAGAACCAACAGCCACTGGGACAGAAAGGATCTGGAGTGGAGGCCACAAACCCGCAAGTGCCGCGTTAGACGTCCACCCACAGTCAAAGTGAACTGACGACCTGAATAACGTCGCAAGGAGCTGCTGGGTTGACGTCGTTTTCAACCGGCCTATCTGGAAATCGTTGTATGTGTATATTATGTTCAGAGATGGATTTTTACGGCTGATATGATGAAGAGGCTATTATGGACTACTTTTAAATGTAAGGTAAAGGTATAAAATCTGACTTTTATTCCTCATAGAATATTATGTAGTCGTACACAATACACCATATCTTTGTAAATCACATTGAGTTCCAAAAACTTAATAAAGACATGCTATTGAAAATTGTGTATTTAAATAGTATTTTTTCCGATTTGAACATTATCAATCCTTAAATAAATAAATGTAAGCTTCACACAAAACGATATTCAACTAAAGAAACAGACAAAAATCGTTCCCTAACTTTCGCCTTTACATTTTAACGAAGCAGAATATCAGAACGATCTTTAGTTACAGATTAAGTTCAGGGATTCGTGTTACTTTGATTACAAAGTAAAATCCGGAGTCAGATCATCTATTTGATCTCTGAAGGTTGGGGAATAATATCTGAGTAATGAAGCAGGGTCACGTTCTGGCCCACATTGAACACTAACATAAATGTTTGACCACACCTCAACGTTTGATTTGTATGTCAGTCTAGACGATGAGTACACAAGTACACAATGACATGGTAACGCATAGAGCTACATAAAACCACTTTATCGTGATCTCCGTTTCTATAATCTTTCCACGTTATCGACGGTCAGCGTATACTGGTTCTGCATAGCTTGATGTATATACACAGTACACATCCTGAATCACAGAGTACACGAGGAACATAATGTTAATGTGTGCGTAATCATATGTTCTGAGTACGTAACGCCCTACTTTGTTAGTGGGTGGCCTTCTGCGGAATGAATATGTTTATGAGAAGTCACAACGTAGCATTTTTGGTTTTGTTGCTTATATAATTGTAATTTCATAGAATGTCAATCAACGATTAAAAGGAGCAATTCCATTGCCTTCAACCGGACATTTCCACACACTTCAAAAGCTCTATATATATATTATTGCGCTATAGGCGACCAATGAAGGTCTTGAGTTAAAATACTGTAGGTACTTAACAAAATGAAATTTATAAAATATTTTTCATTTTTCTGAAATTACGGAAATTTGTAAGTGCGAAGTACACGCCACCGTCTTGTAACTAGCTTTATAACGCGGCATAACGCACAAAAACTCAAACGCGTAATTAATATTATTCCTAATTCCATAAAACTCCAATAAGAAACATTGCAGTCGCTTATTCTGAAATACATACTGTCGAACTTAAACGATTTATTATAGCCGTATTTTTAACTATTGGCCCGAAACTTTCTCTTACATTGAACCTTTATGACTTTTGTGACATGCTTCCGAGAAATGTCACGGTTTCAAAACTGCACTGTATGTAATTACAATCACACGTCTAGTTCCAAAAAAGCTACACAAAAACCGTTTATCGAGGTCTCACTTCATATGATCTTCCCACTCATTCAACGATCAGTTTATACTGGTTTTGAAATGCCGTGTGTAGCCGTATGTTCCAAGGCAACATCGCTTTATCAAGCTGAACACTAGCAGCTCATGTTGACATTAAATTGAATCTCAAAATGGATGTTGCACTAACATCATTAATTTAGCCTGAAAGCTGTAAAACCACGAGAAACAAGAACCTTTGACGTCCTTTATAAAATTAAACATTTCATGGAAATATTGACATTTTACCTGTTGTAATGTTTTTATTTTTATTTTTTTTAAAGCTTCCTTTATCGCAAAGGAAATGAATAACCGAACTCCTATATTACACTTTACTGATGACAATAAAAATCCAATCAGACCAAATCGATTTAATTTGGGATCGCACAGAATTTGTGGAGCTATTCCTTTGGGCGTTACAAACGAGAATGAATATTCATTATAATTTTATGAAAATCCTAATAACATGAATAGCTAAGTAACTACAGTATACTAGCGTTTGTCAGTGGCTTCGCCCGCGTTCCAGTAGGGTAAAGAGTCTATGTATTAAAAGGCCTATGTGTTATTCCTATTCCCGGCCAAATCTACCATAAAGATCCACAACAACATCATACCTTTTATCCCCGAAGGGGTAGGCAGAGGTGCACACAGAAATAACACCCACTTTTCACTGTTTATGTTATGAGTCCCATGTAATAGGGGGTGAGTACCATAAATATCCATCTTTCAAAACAAGACCATGTCAGGAAATATACAGGAAACGAAAAACGTTCTCGAACTCTGCGGAGAGTGGACGTGTCACAGTCGTATCTAAATTATCTGTAAAAGTCGCAAGCGATAATAGTGTTTACTACTCATGTATCAGTGCTCAATCTTATGTGAATCTATCGATAGAAATTAAATAAATAATAAGTAAACAGTATACTGCATAAACGTGCGGGGTGACCGCACACCTCACCTCTGCGATAAGAGACAGTCAACATAATTGTCGTCCTTGTCTAACACAGCTCATCACGGCCCTACTCACCTGAAGCGACGGCTACGTTACTACCGTCATAATGAATTGTGAAGCTTGTAATACCGACATCAAAAATGATGACAATGTCAAATGTGTTCGTTGTAAGAAACAATATCACACATTATGCGTAATTTTTTCCCAAGAAGATGTGAAAGATAAACAAACGTCGAATAACTGGTTGTGTCCGCATTGTCGCAGTAAACAACCAAGAGGTGATAACTCCGGTACACCAGTGCGCCCTTCAACACCCACCTCAACAGCTGATATTACTTTCAACGTTACCCGCCGCAAGATCGGCCAAACTAGGCCAGAACCACCACAATATACTGGCCTGTCCGCTGAGACCTGGCGCACGGAGATACGCGAAATAATACGTGAAGAACTGCGTGATGCCTTGCGGGAAGCTGTGGGTGCATTGACATCGGGGCTAGTCGCAAACCTCAATGAAATGAAGGAGGAAATTAATGAATTTAAGTTGTCAATGAATTTTATTAATGGCGAGTTTGAGAAGCTCAAATACGAATGTAATATCCACCGTAATGAAATGAGTCATATGCGAAAACAAGATGAAGCTTTGCACCTGGAACTCGTTGACACCAAGAGGAAATATGAACAAATCGATTATTTGTTACGTGCCAACAACCTCGAAATACAGTGTATCCCGGAAAAGAAATCCGAAAATCTCATAAGCATCGTCAAACAACTTGGCCGCACCGTAGATGTCACGTTGAACGAGGGTGACATACAATACTGCTCCAGAGTGGCGAAGTTGAAACCGGATAGTACCCGTCCACGTTCTATATTAATCAAATTCAACAATTCTCGCCTCCGTGATACCGTGTTGGCGGCAGTGGCTACATACAATAAAACCCATGCGCAGGATAAGCTAAACACCCATGATTTGGGTTTTACTTCTAATGGAAAGTCACCTGTATTTGTTGTGGAAAACTTATCACCAGAAAACAAAAACTTACATGCCGCAGCCCGTATTCGAGCTAAGGAATTGAAATATAAGTTTATTTGGGTACGAGGAGGTCGTATTTATATGAGACAAAATGAGACCGCCGGTAAGATATGGATTCGCAATCTCGATATGTTAAACAAGCTTACCTAATGTCATTAACAAACATTGTATACATTTTTATTTTTAGACGTTTGGTTGCAATGTGCCTGTGTGTTAATAAGTACCTACATTCCCTCCGATATTAATAATGGATAATCCTTTGTATGGTAAATGTATAAAACTCATCCCAATAAGTTTTCATGTTTATTGTCGTATTGATGTTTGTGTGACCTGTTTTGTTTGCGTAAGTACCTCATCATTGCTTCATTTTTTGTATGCATTTATAGTCAAGGTTAGGGTTCGGTGTTGCGGTTTAAATTATCTTGATACACTTTATTGTTTACATAATAATAATATCATGCTTAGGTATGTTTTACAATGTATTAATTTGTGCTCGACACGTATTTTTCTATCTGTTTTATTTTTTATTATGTTTTTTTTGTTACCCTATTCTAATTACCTACCTGTCAAGCGAGTGTGGTCAGTCATGCAGTGGCGTATGTGTGCATTTATTCAAGTGCAATGGAGAATATTCAAATTACATTATTGTGTATACTTGAGTGGGTGTATGTTGCGTTCTGTCGTGTTGTTGGTGGCTTGGATTGTATCTGTACTCCGTTGCAATCCTTGTCAGTCGCGGTTGGTTAGACTATGCTTAACACAAAGTTAAGTCTATACTATCAAAATGTGCGTGGTCTGAGGACAAAAGTATTGTACACATTTAATAATGTTTTGCGTTGTAATTATGACATTTTGCTTTTTACTGAGACATGGTTGCAGAGTGATATCCTGGACGCGGAGGTGTGTGATGACAGGTACCAGGTGTTTCGATGCGATCGCGATCTGAGCTTGACTAGCAAGAGGACTGGGGGTGGGGTTATGTTGTGTATAAACAATAGAATTAAAGCCACAAAAATGAATGACTTCCTTTGTACCGGTACTGAGGTACTACACGTTCAACTGTCTGCGCAAAGTATTTCTGCGGTAAGAGATTTGCACATTATATTAATATACATTCCGCCTGATGCTTCTAACATTCCATCACAGTTGGAATCAATTATTGAATCCCTAACTAACATTCAGAGCTCGTTTAACAATCATGACTACCTATTTATAGGCGATTTTAACTTACCCTGCTTATCATGGTCGGACGAGGGCTCACTTACATTAAATGGTTTTTCACAACAAATGCGTATTGCGGCTGCTACGTTTGCGGATAGTATTGGTACACTGGGCTTCACACAGTATAATTTAATTGCCAACTGCAACAATCGTACTTTGGATTTATGTTTCTCAACGACACCGATAATTGTCAATCGTAGCGACGACCCTCTCCTACGCGAGGATGTTCACCACCCTGCCTTGTCATTGACTGCTCGCGATTTGTTTTTAACGCCTCTACGTGAAGTATATACACCACGACCTAATTTTCACAGAGGTAACTACGAGGACCTCAACAAATACTTTAGTAAAATAGAATGGGATAAAATATTAGCTGCTGACCTGGTCGATGACGCTGTTAGTGAGCTTTACAAAGAAATAAATATCGGAATAGAACGATATGTACCACTTAATAATAATAAAAGTAACCGTAAGTACCCCGCATGGTACAGTCGTCCTCTCATTAAAATTATTCGTGAAAAATCTAAAGTGCATAACAAATGGAAAAAATATGGAAATCCTCGGGATTACCAAGAATTTTCAATCCTACGCACTAGACAACATGACATTCTAAAATCATGTTTTCATAAATATGTATTGCTAACTGAGAAAAACATAAGTCATTATCCCAAAACTTTTTGGTCCTATGTAAAGGGTAAACGAGGTGGTAGTCAATATCCAAAAGCCTTTACATTAAACAATAAGGCCTACGATAATGGTTATGGTATCTGCACCGCTTTCAGCGAATACTTCCATGGTGTTTTTGTCAGGCCATCCATACACTCTTCTATAGGCACATTACCGTCAGCTACCACCAATGACTTTAATAATACTTCCAGTAATATAATATCGACACTTGATATCACTGAGGATACAGTACTCGGCACCTTGCGCACATTAAACAGAACCAAGGGCCCCGGAACTGATGGCTTGCCCCCCATATTTCTCCGTAGCTGTGCTGGTAGCCTAACACGCCCTATTACCTTGCTGTTTAGGAAGTCCTTAACTGAGGGCGTATTTCCCTCAGTGTGGAAGTCTGCACTTATTGTCCCTCTGCATAAGAAAGGCTCGAAATCGGATATTAAAAACTATCGTCCGATATCCATTCTTAACACACTTGGTAAAATGTTCGAGAGAATTATTTACAATAATATTTATTCAACGATATCCAATAGCATTGGTCCATATCAGCATGGTTTCATGAGACGCCGCTCAACAGTATCTAATCTTGCCACCTTTACTAACTATGTTATTCGTAATATGGAGGCGGGTGGTCAGGTTGATGCAATCTATACAGACTTCGAAAAAGCATTCGATCGCGTGGATCATGTCATCCTGCTTTCGAAACTCCAAAATCTTGGCATTCACGGCGACTTGCTTAGGTGGATCAGTTCCTATCTGTCCAAGCGTTCTCAGGCTGTTGTGATCGGTGGCTTTAGATCTGACTTTGTGGATATAACGTCCGGTGTCCCACAGGGATCCTTGCTTGGACCTCTGTTTTACTCTGCGTACTTATATGACATCCAAGCATGTTTCAAACACTCTAAACACCTTCTATACGCAGATGACATGAAAATATACTTGCGGGTTGAATCGGTGTCTGATTGTGAGCTCATACAACATGACCTTAATTCACTATACCGATACTACTCGCAGAATAACATCAATGTGAATATATCGAAATGTCAATCTATTAGTTTCACCCGTCGCATAAACCCCATAAAGTATTGTTATAAATTTGACAACATAGCTATAGAAAGAGTAGATGTCGTTAGAGATCTTGGTGTGTTGCTGGACTCTAGATTGCTATTCTCTGAACACATCGATAGTACAGTTGGTAAAGCCTCTCGTAATCTTGGATTTGTAATGCGCACATGTAAACCATTCAGAAACCTTCATAGTCTCAAGATTGTGTATCTTGCTTATGTCCGCAGCACATTAGAATATTGCAGTCCTGTCTGGTCTCCTCTATATAATATTCATATATCTCGTTTGGAGAATCTTCAGAAACGATTTATAAAATTTTTAAATATTAAAAGCCATAAACGCCACGCATCTTATCTGACGGATTGTAAACATTACCACTTATTGCCACTTGATGACAGACGGCAGATGTTGGACATGCTCCTTCTTTATGATATCCTGCGGGGTGGGATAGATAGCAGTGATCTCTTGTCATGCGTTGAATTCTGCACGCACAGGTGTCGAACAAGACATACTCACTTGCTTAGTATACCCTCACATCGTACGAATTATGGGAAAAATGCTGTTATGACTCGACTACCTCGCATTTACACAGAGAAGTTTGAGAGTGTGGATATATTTAATTTGTCAAAGGTATCCTTTCGTAAGTCGCTTATACAAATACTCACTAGTGCGTGACTCTTATAACATTATTATTCTTCTTAATTATTGCTTTATAAAAAAATGTCCTTGATTGTTTAATTTTATTTTATATTGCTCACTCTCCTACTTTTACCTAACGCATGCTGAAAAACTCTGTTATTGGCTTAAGTTTCCATGCCTTGTCATTATTATAGATGTAGCATTTACTAAATAAGCTGTTGAGTTTTCTGTAATAAAAAATAAAAAATAAAATAAAAAATAAAAAAAAAATAAACATATCAGGAAATATAAATAGATATATATATTCTACATTTCATCCCGACTTCTTTAGCCGTTGCATCGTGAAGTAGTAATAAACAAACATACAAACTATCGTATTTGTACTACTATAGTAGGATTAAAAATAGAAGGTTATGCAGTTGTATTCAATGAATTGAATGAGTGTTTTTTTGATACTGTTAATTTATATAGGTATATTTCTGTTCTCTTTTTTCCCTCTGTGTGAAAGGTTTTTATCTGTAATTAACCGTTACCTAATTATAAGTATTCATTTATTCAATATATACTTAAAATAAAATCATATCCCTCTTCATGTTCTGTTCAAATAGTTTCAAGATAAACTATTTCAAATTTCATCTATTTTCAATTCACTTAAAAGGTTGAATCTATTCTCAAGTCAAATAAAACCAATAAAGTAAGATAAACAAACAGATACAGTTTCACAATCTGCATTTTATTACATTTAAATGTCAGATCTGCATTGGCCACAGCACAATGCACTACACTTTAATATTCAGTCTTTCAAATAACTAAACTACATTTGAGTGCAAAAAATCGGAGCGACTAGCGTTTTTGTTTAATTTCTTAATAAATATTTTTCTGATACAAGTATTTTATTATTTGGTAATTTGGTATGTCGTATGAAAGATAATTTAGTTATTCACCTTATTTAGGTTTATAAATTGTCGGCAAGCGTTCATAGGCCATGATAACCACTTACCATTAGGTGGCCGTGGTACCGTCTGCTTTTCTTGCCACCGTCGTGGTATAATAAAAACCTTTAAAATTAGATAATTTTGTTGTAAGAAGAATATTTTTTTAAGTTATATAGGGTTCTGTTATAAGTTATTATAGCCCTAACATATAAAATAGAACCGCTGACACCGCATCCCCGTTGCTCACGTGGATGCATCACGTTTACTTAACATTACACATTTTATTTCATTTATTACAATGATACACTTACTTTGGACACATGGACGTCATATCTTGCACGGTTTACCTTGCACGGTGATAGTAATTTAGCCGAGTTGCAAATATTTAGTAGTTCTCTCTCGCTTCCACTTTGAGAGAGAAGCGAGAGAGGACTACTGAACATTAGCTACTCGACTTTTTAATCGTAGTATTTTTACTATCATAGTGTGAACAAGGCATTAGGGTTTTGTAATTTTGCTATTTTCTAAAACACCAAGCGGTCACCGGTGACCGCGTTTCTTTGCTCATTATTATACAATATTTATACATTTGCCAATACGAATTCGTACTGGGAATTAAATTCACTTTGCGATGGAGGGAAACTCTTTCGAATTCAGCATTGGATTTTACATTTCTCGAAATCTTTAACATTTTTATTTTAGCATTTCCAAATATTAATAAAAACATATACATACATAACCTCACGCATGACTCCCACGGGGGTAGGCAGAGTCTATGGAACGCGAGCAGTACGATTGTATGATTCTTACATACCTCTACGTTTTTGCCATCCTCGACAGTCATGGGTCATTTCATGCATGCTCGTTGGTTCAGTGTGTTTTAATTTGGCATTTCTTTAATAATTCGCCTATCTGTTCGATATATTATGCTCTGTACCGACAGTCTCAGTCATATCCGCTCTGTATACTTTTACTTACATTCGTAAATTCACTTTCATCCAACTTTTCAATATGTCCAAAACCGTCGTAACATTCTCTTCCATCCGTCTTTCAATCCACACCTTTCTCTAAGTAAAAATATTTTTAGTTTAAACTGTTAGTTACTGCCTCGTTGATCGGCAAAGAATTATTGCGTTTAAAAAAAAACTCAGTAGAAGCACGGAGCCTGAAATTGTACCCAGTATATATCAATAGGCTTACCCTATTACTGGGATTACATGGAACTCATAATATTCTACGGGGATAAAAAGGCGTGATGTTATGTTATGTTAGTTACTAAGTGATGATAATATTAGAATTAGATTTAACTCGTCGAGTACCGGTTTTGTAGACACAATTATAGAACAATAGGTTGCGGTCACCGGTGACCGCTTGGTGTTTGACAGTTTAATATTGAGTTACGCCTGAAATTCTCTGAATGGTTATTTCATGTTTAATCATTATTCATCGATTCTGTATTTACATACTAGGTACCTGAAATCATTCGGTCTGCTGGATCTTCGGTAACTGAAATCATATTTCCATATTTATGGTTATACTTATTGTCATAAACTAATAACCGTAATTATTTCAACTAAAACCAATATCAATGATTGATAATATATTAAATTGAAATAATTCAGTGTTTATAAACCAGTATAACAGTTTTCAGCAATCTTATGTAGGTTGAAGGTTATTTTATAAGACAAGTATTATTTTTTATAAGGCAAATATGAATGTATAAAGGTACTATCGGCTAAGTTTACGGTAGTGCACTTCTTAAACAAAATGCGATACATACTAACCTTCTCCGTGTGAGAAGAGGCTTTGCTCAGCAGTGGGCATTTACAGGCTGTTATATGTAACTCAGAAAAAGTTACATTGATACTTGCCGTTGGCAGCTTTCAAAACCTATAACCTCACATTAATTATTTTCATTTTATAACTTTTATATTAAACTCGGAATTTTAATTCGATTCCAGATTTGACAATTTCAGTGTTGCAACGTTATGACAAGTACTAAATAGTGACGTTACGAAATTATTCGATATGGAAATGCAATATTTCTGGATCGATTCTTCTCGTTTATAATTTTACTCTCGTAAACTAAGTATATCAGGAAATTAAATATTTCTGAACCGATAATTTAGTTTTGACGATTAATTAACGATCTGAGACTTTTCTTATATAATTGTGCGTGAAATAAATGAAAAAAATGTAATCATGAAGGAACATGACAAATAAAACAGATAGATGTATTATGGTAATAATTTATTTTATAAATTGTCGCCGTGATCGCTATCGCTATCCTGTCACTTTCTGTAACATTTATTATAAAACACACGCACTGATTGTTTATCGATTTTTGTTTTCATCACTACAATATTATATGTGGTATCATTATTTCACAAAATGACAGTAGCTATTGTCAAATCTGGAATCTAATTAAAATTCTGACTATAGGTACTCTTACCTCTATAAGTATAAAGTTGAAGAAAATCTTAAATAAGAAACTAAACTGTAACAGTGTTATTCATCTTGTTTTATAACTTTATTAATGTTCTAGGTATTCTAAAAGCAACTGAATGCGATGTTTAGTTCAACTTGAAACGAAGTTTCCAATTTAGTATTTACCTAGCTAAGTTATTTGAACTTATATGAATTGTTGGTTTTATACTATTTTAGACATTGTAGGTTTTAAAGGCATTCATGAATGAATGATTTTCATGAGCAGCATTCCACGGTTTTTGTGACCCTTACTTACTTACTCTCTGTTTTTTTGTTTCCGTGATAAAAGAAGTATGAACGTTTTTTAATTTTTTGCATGTTGACTGTTCCTGGTATAAAAATGTTGTATTAATGTTTGTCTTTTCTTTATATTAGTACTATTCAATTTCATTCCTTCTTCTTATGAAATACATACTTGAAGTTAAATAAATATTTGGTAACAATAAATTATAAAATAATACTACTCCTAATGAATCGTTAAAATACTGTACAGTTTAGAATAGTTATTGTGCCTGACAATAATTCTTATAAGATAACAATTGAGCATATCTAATTGGAGTTAAAGTGGGCGTAGACACGTCGGCTGTGAAAGACGTGTAGTTCTTAATACTTTTTTCTTAGAAAAACATACGAAATATTGTGTTAACAGAATCAAAATAGATAACATATTATTCCATCTCGAAAACCTTCCTTCGGATTATTCTACCTTGCAATATATTTATTTTACAAAATATCGTCCCATTAGTAGAATAATGTTCTATTTGCGAATTGTCGACTTTTCAGTAGAGCGATTATAAATTTCGCGCGCACATATTTGCTTATAAATCTGTTATAAATGATACTAGCTACTTAATATTTGTACAGTATGCACAGAAGTTAGTACCGTTTATGATAATATAATTATTTGTTTTATAAACTAT